CAGGGCTGGCTCTTGGCTGGCTGGACATAATTGAGCTGAGTTGATACTTGGCTGGCTGAAGATAAACATCTCACATTGTTGAACACGACTGATACAAACTGTTTCTTGGCTGATTGAAAATGATCAACCTGCGCTAGCTTGAAGTTGGCTGTATGCGATTGAGCCGACCTGGACAGTAGTATTAGCATTGAAATCAGGTATGTTTGGAGGTTTACTTTGAGCTGTGGGTAGTGATTGGATGTGTATTGGCTGGAAACAGATGAACTGGGCAGACTTTTGACTGGCTGGATGTGATCAAGTCAATATTGCTCTTGGCTTGCTAAACACAATCCAACAGGGCTAGCTTACAGTTAGCTGGAGATGATCGAGCCAGGTTGGCTCTTGGCTAGCTGCAGATGATCCAGCTGAGCTGGCTCTTGGCTGGCTGGAAAAAATAGAGCTAGGCTAGTGCTCAGATGGCTGGATACAATCAAGCAGGACTGGCCCATGGCTGGATGAAAATGATTGAGCAGGGCTGGCTCATGGTAGGTTGGAGATAATTGAGCTGGGCTGGTTGTTGGCTGGCTGGACGTGATTGAGCTAAGCTAGTCCTCAAATGGATGGATGAGATTGACCTGGGCTGGCTGGAGATGATTGGATTGGGCTGGCTCTCAGTAGGCTGAATAGGATTGAACTGAGGTGGCTCTTGGCTGGCTGGATACAATCGAGCAGGGCTGGCTCTCTCATGGCTGAATACGATCGAGCTGGCTGGTTCTCTACTGACTGGGGAAGATCAAGCTGCACTGGCTTTTGGCTGACTGTATAAGGGCGAATACACCTGAGTATGGCTCCATACTTGATAGTAAGTTTCGAAACTGTTGCACATGAAAATAGGTGATTATAGTGTAAGTGTGAGTACAGCCTTGTACTCTGTAATAATATTAGATACAGATGTATATGAGAATAAGTGATAAAGAAAAGTAGTCATTAGGTATGGTAGTAAAATAATTGATAAAGTGCAATTGGCATTTCTGTGAAGTGACTATATACTGGGCACTTCTTTGGCCATTGGCTGGCTGCCATTACAGGCTGGATGTGATTGAGCTGAGTTGGCTCTTGACAGACTTGATATGATTGAGCTGGTCTGGATCCCAGCTGGCTGGATGGAATGGAGCCAGGCGGGCTGAAGATAATTGAGCTGGTCTGGATCTTGGCTGGCTGGATGGAACAGAGCCAGGCAGGCTGAAGATGATTGAGCTGATTTGGATCTTGGCTGCCAAATGGTGGAGGTGGCTTTGCCACCATTGTATCTGTTGCTGGGTATTTGAATAATGGCACAAATCAGGCCAAAATTGCAGGTTTTCCACAGCAACTCAACAACTATAGATCAGATTTGGCATGTAAAACTGGGAGGCAAATGAGCACATAAAACTGCATATTTCACATATAGATTATGTCATGATACAATAACAACTCAAAAACTTAATTGGAACAAAAGAAGTGGGCTTGCAATATGCGAGTTTTTCAGGTGCCAAATGCAACGGTCCGGGTTAGGGTTGAGACCGGAACCCTACCATGGTAACGGGTTTTACCACACCAAAAACCCGGACCATTGCATTGGAGCCGGTTCCCACCTGATAACCTGCATATTGCAAGCCCACTTCTTTTGTTTCAATTAAGTTTTTGAGTTGTTATCGTATCGCGACATAATCTATACATGAAATATGCAGTGTTAGGTGTTCTTTCACCTCCCAGTTTTACATTCCCAATCCAATCAATATTCATTGAGTTGGTGTGAAATAATCCCGAAAATCAGGCGAAAATCGCAGGTTTTCACAGCAATGCAATGAATATTGTTCGGATTTTAAATCAGAGACTGGAAGGCAAAAGAGTGACAACTTACACATATTTGGTCTATAATTTACTTTGTGATCAGAGTGAAACTCAAAGACTTAATTGAGCTTGAATGTTTGGATTTCGCATTTTCTGGGTCATGGGGCATCAAGTCAACCAATGATAATCATCTTTGCAGGGATGTACCACGATTTGACCAATCCGAATGCTTCGTGCGGACATTGCATGGTCTCATCCACCTCTATGTAAGTATACAAGCAACGGAGGCGGCTTCGCCGCCTTAAGGTCAGATTTGAACCAGTGTGTATCAGCCAATGGGCGTCGAGTATTTTCTTGGTGCCGGGACGCAAGCAAGTTGATTGGTCAGAGTGGATGCTAGCATGGTCGGGTACATCGAGGAGTGAAAGCAGAGGGCGAGAGGGAAATAAAGATACCCTACGAACGAAGGTCATCACCAATTCTCTAACTCATTAGGTTTGTCAATATGCTATTTTGGAGAAGAGAGGGAAAGAAAGAAAGATGTTGATTCTAATTTCTTCATGCCAAAAGGACCTATCTGTCTATCTACTGGTGCGGCCCTGTATATATTGTTGACAGTAGTTGTCTGACGTCACTCAGAGTTTAGTCCGGGATCATTCGACGACACACGGTGGTGTCTCCGGTGGCGGCCGCCAGCAGTTCCGGACCTCAAGCCATCATGCCACCAAGCCATGGAGCAGGCTCTGAGCACTTCCGGACCGAGCATTTCCGCTCCAACCACTTCCGGCTCTTGGCCCGGGTATGATATTTGGCATCTGGCAATGCTTTGCCTTTTCTCTATATAAGTTGATTGTTTTCTCTTGTTCTTAGATCTTTGGACTGTGTACAATGATCAATCACTTTACACTGCTCTCAACATATATTGTCCTAACTCCACCACCCCGTCATCCTTGCTTTCTCACCATGCCTGCTGAATGCGATCTGGACGGACTGGCTCTGGGCTGGTTGGATACTATGTGGATGGGCAGGACACAATCCGGACGGACTGGCTGGAGACGATCGAAATGGGCTGGCTCTCCGCTTGCTGGATACCATCTCGATTGGCTGGCATTTGACTGGCTAGACATCATCAGGATCGAATGGCTTTCGGCTGGCTGGACACGATCGAGGCGGGCTAGCTTTCGGTTGGCTGGCCACAATATGGATGGATTAACACTCAGCCAACTGGAGACAATTGAGACGGGGTGACTGGGGGCTGGCTGGACATGGTCTGGATGGGCTCGCTCTGGGCTGGCTGGACACGATATGGATGGACTGGTTGGAGGCTGGCTGCAGACGATCTGGACTGGCTGGCTCTGGGCTGACAGGAAACGATCGAGACGGGCTGGCTGGTTGCTGGCTGGGTACGATCTGAACGAACTGGCTGGACACAATCGAGACGAACTGACGGGAGGCTGGTTGGACACCATCTCGACGGGCTGGCTGGAGGCGATCTGGCCGGGCTGGCTTTTCGCTGGCTTGCACACAATCGGGACAGGCTGGCTGTCGGCTGGCTGGACACGATTTGGACGGACTGGCTCTCAGCTGGCTGGAGACGATCGAGACTGGCTTACTTGCTGCTGACTGGGTGCTGACTGGGCGTGATCTAGACGGGCTGGCTCTCGGCTGGATGGACACGATCAAGGCAGGCTGACTTTCGGTGGGCTGGACACGATATGCATGGATTAGCTCTCAGCTGGCTGCAGACGATCGAGATGGGCTGACTGGGAGCTGGCTAGACACGATCTGGACGGGCTTGCTGGACGCGATCTGGATGGGCTGGCCATCTTCTGGCTGGGTGGAGACGATCTGGATGGGCTGGCTGAATACGATCCGAACGGGCTGGCTGGATACGATTTAGCTTGATTACCTCTCGGCAGGCTGGACATCATGTGGACGGATTGGCTCTTGGCTGGCTGGACATGATCTGGATGGACTGGCTCTCGGCTGGCTGGAGACGATCTGGATGGGCTGGCTCAATACGATCTGGACAGGCTGGGTGGATACGATCTAGACGGATTAGCTCTCGGCTGGCTGGACACGATCTGGACGGACTGGCTGTCGGCTGGCTGGACATGATCTCGACGGGCTGCCTGGGTGCTGGCCATAGTGCTTATAGTGTTGAGTACGGAAACCAAAAACCGAGGGTCGGCCGACAGTGAAACACAATAGAAATGGAAAGATGATAGGCGTGATGCGAGAGTTTGAGTCGGACTGGCATCAGACCAATGAAACGAAGGCATCGAGTACAGAAACCAAAAACTGTGAGACAGTAGATGAAAGCTGAAACGAATTGCATAAAATAGCACGTTTTATAAATTGAATATGTAAGCGAAAATGAAATGTAGTAAAGCAGAGGAAATGTTGTTCGAAAATGAAACATACGGGAGAGCAATGCCATGCTTTATAACTCAAAAATTGTGAGTTAAGCGCATGACGACAGAGGTGACAATCAACGTCTACATAAAGGTTAGGCCGTACGGAAGTAAGATCGGAAAGGTCACAAAATATTTCAAGAAAAAATAATGAGGCCGCGAAGCGAAATGCTTCGACGATCGAACATAATACAGAAAATACGATGCCATTGCAAGGCCAATCATTTTGTTTGGATCCATGTCTTGGCTAGCTGCGGCAAGTGAAATGATTCATCGATCGAACGACGCAACACGGAACCTACTATGGTGTTGAGACTCCGTAGGATCGACGTTCGAAGGCCAATCATTGTGCTTGGATTCATGTCTTGGCTAGCTGCGGCGAGTGAAATGATTCATGGATCGAACGACGCAACACCGAACATACGATGGTGTTGAGAATCCGTAGGAGCAACGTTCGAAAGCCAATCGTTGTGCTTGGATCCATGTCTTGGCTAACTGTGACGAGTGAAATGATTCAACAATCGAATGACGCTGTTGGAACATATCAATCCACACTCATCAAGGGCCGGTAGCTCAGTTGGTAGAACATCCGTCTAGTATAGGACGGTCCTAGGTTCGACTCCTAGCCAGTCCATTCTTTTCCGTGGCTCAACATGGTAGCAACACCTCGTTGGTGAAAAGATGGATGGCTTGAGAGTGCGCCCCGGCGATAGCACACCAGATGGAGTGTGGCTTGAGGGGGAGTGTTGGAACATATCAATTCACACTCATCAAGGGCCGGTAGCTCAGTTGGTAGAGCATCCGTCTAGTATAGGACGGTCCTAGGTTCAACTCCTAGCCAGTCCATTCTTTTCCGTGGCTCAACAGACGCAACACAGAACGTACAATTGAGTTGAGACTCCGTAGAAGCAACATTCAAAGGGCATTCATTTTGCTTGCATCCACGTCATGGCTAGCTGGGGCGAGTGAAATGATTCAACAATCGAACGACGCAACACGGAACATACGATGGAGTTGAGACTCCGTAGGAGCGACGTTCGAAGGCCAATCATTGTGCTTGGATCCATGTCTTGGCTAGGCGCAGTGAGTGAAATTATTTGACGATCGAACGACGCAACACAGAACTTCCGATGGAGTTGAGACTCCGTAGGAGCGACGTTCATCATTTTCCTTGCATACATGTCTTGGCTAGCTGCGGCAAGTGAAATCATTCGATAATCGAACAACACAACACAGAGCGTACGATGGAGTTGAGACTCCGTAAGAGTGACGTTCGAAGGCAAATCATATTGCTTGTATTCATGTCTTGGAATTCAAGTAAGCAGCAAGATGGCATCCATATCTTGAAATTCACGTAAGCGGCAAGATGGCCAATGGGATACGATGAGAATCTCAGCCATTTTGGGAAAAAGATCACACCAATCAGAATGCTTCGTGCGGACATTGCATGATCTCAGAGACCTCCTTATAATAATAAAATGTTCATCTATTTGGTTACCTAGGTAGGCCAACATCTCACTTTAATTCTTCTTACGATAAGCTAAGTAGGTTTGCACGTTCATAATTAAAGAGAGAGCGACAACCGCAGGTTTAAGCCCGAGAAGTCTTGAGGAGGTTTGAGGAGCCTGGAATCTCAGATCCGTGTTCACAGAACCAATTGATCACGCAAATTTCGAACGGGCCACCTGGGTGTTTCAGGTGCCCGTTAAGCTAAGATTTCTTCTTGGGGATAACTATCGCAATGTGTTAATGTCCGAAACAAAAGCAACTTTCCGAAATAAGTATAGATAAGCCGGCCCTAAACAACAAAAGCGATAATCGTAGGTTTTAAGCCCGAGTCTCGGTGTTTATTAGCACCAATTCAGCGTTTGTTATAGGTTTTCAGCCTCGGTGTTTGTAGCACTCATTTGAGTGAACAGGTTTCGAACCTGCCTCTTGCTTAGCTTAGCGGGTGTTTCTAGCACCGGTTAAGCTAAGATCACTTGCTGTCAATAAGCATCATGACTTGCTGATGTCTGAGGAGAGCAAACATTGCGGAATAAAGATAATCCAAGTTTGAACAGCAAAAGTGATGGCCTTAGGTTATAAGCCTACCATAAGGCTTTCTGCTTCGGTGTTTGTAGCACTCAACTGATCACGCAGGTTTCGAACATGCTTTCTGGTACTTATGCTGGTGTTTCTAGCGCCAGATAACCCAAGATCGCTTCTTGTTAATCGACCATAGTAAATGCAAGTTGGCAAGATTGAGAGCAAGCTTAAGTAGTAATGACACCGAGTGACACAGAGCCGAGCCTGAGGAAGATCCCCCACCCTCAGTCAATCACATGATCGTTGGAAATATTAGGAAGTGATTGTTGTATTGGTCATGGTCTTCTGCTTCGTATATGTTGCGACACATTCATGGTAGCCGCTCATCCATGGACAGGGCGGCTCCATGAATGGGACAACCAAAGTCTTTGCTTCGCTTCTATACATCTCTTTTACACTCAGTTGGCTTCGCTTCACTTCTATATATATTTTACAAGTCAGTTAGCTTCGCTTTTATAAATCTCTTTTACAAGTTAGTTGGCTTGTTGTTTATTCATATTGTATTCACTCTAATTAGAGTATAACAAAGACCGACTCTCCTCCGCCTCCGGGCTCATAACCGCCGGTTAGGTGGCGGAGCTCCCCACCCACTACCCAAAAACGAAAATTTTCACCTCCTCCCCTCTTCCACCATCTTCTGCTTCTACTCTCCTGTTTTACCCCACCGCACCATATTCTAGTCCTCCCCCAGAAATTTAACTGTTCGGATCCAGTACCACATTCGCCTGAGCGCAGGGTCTCATTGATGTTATCGCAGTGGAATACCCCAACCGTCCTACCGTGGGGCGTGAACAGCACCTTTGATGTGTCTACCGATTTTCGCTGTTTAAGTGGGTTGATGCGTCCATGGGAACAACTCGTACTGGTGCTTGTGTGCCTGAGAAGCAGGTCATCATGCCTCTCCGAGTGTTGTGGGTCGGAGCGTGCTGTCCTCAGAAAAACTCTTCATTGAACTGCTGCGCTTTCACGCCCTAGTTGTATTGTGTTGTCGATTGTGTCGGTTGTGTCGGTTGTGTCGGTTGTGTCGGTTGTGTCGTGAAAACCATGTCGCTAACTTGCGTAAAACATCGAAGGAGGCGAGTTGCCCTGGAAGAGGGACTACCGTTCGAGGTCCATACTGAGTGGTATTGGGTGGTTGTCGCAGTCTGAGGTACACTCGAACACGAGGGGTGAACAAGCGGACACACACAGGTATGCGAAAATGAAGCCAAAGTAAAACCGCAACCCACCCAAAAAAAAGGGGGTCTTGGCAAAACCAGGCGGTGAGGTGTGTTGTCGAAGGTGTGTGTAGTTAGTTGGCTTTATTGGCTTCACTGGTTTCGCTGGTTTCACTGGCTTCGCTGACTTCATCTGTAATTATTTTACTCAGCTAACTTTACGAGCAATTAACTAAAGCTCTCAATAGTCTTCTTAGTAGTGCAAATTTAGTTTGAATCTTTTTTTTGGTTGTCCCATTCATGGAACGCCCTGTCTATGGATGGGCCAATTCCACGAGTGGGTCAGAACATATACATACACCCACCAAAATTCAGCGTGCTTCCTGCTTTGCTCGCCTTGCCCTGCGCTCGTAAACCATCCCTCAGTCAGCCAACGTCTGGACACGAGATCAGCCTTACCCCACCTCCCCCTTAACCCCTCCTCAAGAACCCCAACATCCCACCCCTAACCATCCCCCACCTCCTCCTCGCCCTCCGTCTCACATACGTCTCCTCCACCTCCACGCCCGCCTCAATCAACACCTTCACCACCTCAGCAAACCCCCACTTCACCGCCTTCCTCAGTATATCCTCTCCTCCCCTCCTCAACAGTTGATTTCCGCACTTACTCTCCAACAACACCCTAACCGTCCCGCACTCCCACTCTTCACCGCCAAATCCAACTGCGTAACATATTCGCAATCATAAAGCACCGTTTCCCCGCCACCATTTTCCAGTAACACCCGTACCACACCATCTAGCCCCAGCGAGCACGCCGTGTGCAAAGGTGTCTGGTTCAGGAAGTTCTTAGCCTGCACGTCTGCGCCGAATTCGATCAGCAGCGATGCCATTGCGGGGGAGAAAGCGCGGTGGAGAGGCGTTGACTCGAACGTGGAGAAACAGACGTTTACGTCCGCACCGTGGAGGAGGAGGAGGCGCGCGAGTTCGACGTGGTCGTGGAGGGCTGCTAGGTGTAAAGGCGTCCATTTCGCATTATTTGGAGTTGATGGCGGGTAAAGGTGGGACAGGAGGTAGGATGTGAGAGGGAGGTTGTTGCATTTCGCAGAGAAGTGGAGGGGAGTGTCGCCGGATTTCTCTGAGGGGGGGTGTGAGGGAGAGGGAGAAGAGGAGGGGGGTTAGAAGGATTGAGAGGCGGCGGGTGGTGAGAAGGAGGGAGAGGACGGATGAGGTGGGGAGGGACTCGCCGATGAGGAGGAGGAGTTCGGGCGGGAGTGTTTCGAGACACATATGTACGACTGAGGGAAGGGAGCTTCAGGCGGGTTGATGGAGGGGTGAGAGGCATATGTAGGACGCTTGAAGAATTTATTACAGCCCTAAATGCTCTCACCGTTGTGCGACGGAGGTTTGTCGTTCCTTCCGGGGTATGATGGGCGAATGATCGGCGGTTACACTGTCCTCAATTCTACCCCAACTGTGACCCGCGAGCCTGTCAGACGAATGATTGGCTGAAATTTATAGACAATCCCAGCTTACTAGAGCCAAGAAAAAGTTCCACAATTGGAAACGTGTTGGATGACACTCCCGTTCACCAAGCTTTCTGTCGTGAGTTTAAATTGTGCTTTGAAAGGTGTTGTAACTTGTCAGTGAGGGGTTGGTTCAATTGAGGCTGCAAGCATTTAAAATCGCTATCTCCCGGATTGTCGCGGATTCCGGGCCGTCAGTAATCAACACTACACATCCCTCGTAGCCGAATATTGTACCGCGTTCCAGACGTTTCAGACTGTACATTTTCTTGCTGTCACCGGCTTTAATATACTTCAAACGCGACAGCTTCAAGGGTATGCATGCGTATGCAGTCAGCAACCTTCTTCAAAAGCCTCCAGCTACAAGTAGCGGAGGTGCACGCTGTATCGGAGGTGCACGCCTCCAGCGTAGAGTCGCGATTGGGGCTGTAAGGAAAGTACTCGTACACCTTTGACGAGGATCAGTTACTGTAAGCTGTTTGACGATCAACCCCATAGGTAAAGTCGCTTCACTGCGTTGCAACTACTAAATAATGGCGATTTTTACTTTCCTCACAGCCCCAGTTGCGACTCTAAGCATCAATTCTTCGTGACGTACTAGTGAACAACAGTGATTCCGAGCATCTCCGGTGCGGTAACCGGGATTACTATTGGCCGAAACCCCGCACTCGGTTTTTCTCGGGCGCCACGCGTATGATACCTACGGCCTAAATATAGCATCCGAAGTGGTCGGAAGACAGCAGTGTAGAGTAATAGGCTTTTTATCCGGGAAGGCGTCGACGTATGCCAAACGGTTATATGTAGTGTGGAGGTCGGATAAATAGGATGGCGTATAGACATTCCGTAATTAGCAGTAGCGGAGGGCGCGCCGTGATGGGGGCAGGAGAGAGCGAGTGACGAGGGGATATCCGGATAACCTTAACGGGACAGTGCTAACTTAGATTTACTGATGACAAGGCTCTGGACTTCCCGCGTTTGACAGCTCGGGTCTAGGTGGCGGCCTATATTGAGGTGGTTACTGGAATTAAGGTGATAATTGCGAGGCGGTTGACTGTTCGAGGGTTTGATAGTTTGAAGT